GTTGGCGGCGTCGCGAACGGTGCCGGCTTTTGTTGAACACCGCACATTTGTCGCTGTGCCCGGAGCAGGATATGATTGGTTACGGCGCGCAATGAGATGTATCAGGTCAGAGCATCTCGCGGAGATCTCTCTGCTGTGTATATCACCGTCCGTTGGAGCGGAGTCGGCCCCAGTCGGCACGAGTGACGGCCGTTGGAGGTTCGCTAATGCTATCAACAGCTCGGCATTCTAGAGCAGTCTCTGCCTGTCGGCTTTTTACTCTCAGCAGCTCTCGCGGAGGCATTCTTTGTACGCAGAGCGCTGGAGTTGCGGAGACACGCCGGTTGATTTAACTGCAGACGGACCAGCGCAGCTCACCGTGCAGAGGCACCGCGTGCAGAGCGGACCCGGCGCCGACAGGGTGCTCATAACGAGCATCGCTCACCAAACTGCGCTCCGACTGTCCCATAATTATCGTCTGATTATTACGGAGGGGACAGCTGCCGGTAATCAGGTAATTAGTGACGCGTTGACAACAATCGAATCAGATGTCGGTGGCGTCGGGCCGCGCCACTGTCGGAGGTCAGACGACATGAATATGCAGCGGCGGCGGGGCCGGGCAGAGGGGCAGGGGGCAGAGCGGGCCGCGGAGGAGGCAGCCGCGGCTCAGCTCAGCGCCGCACGCCGCACGTCCGCCGCTCAAGGCCTATGATATCATGTGGCGGGCTCGGCCGGCGCCGGCGGAACCGGCCACTTCTCGCCACCTGAATGAAAAGGGCCAATATTTGAGCTGCCATGGCGCTGTCCACCGCCGGAAGTGACGCCGGCACGTGCAGCCGACGCCAACATGGGGCCAGGCGGCCGGCCGGCCCGAGCGGCGCCTGCACCGTGCAGCAAAGGCGACAAACGCGCTGGAAACGCTCGGCGACAGGGCATCCCATTAGCCGAGCGGCCAGGCGCTGTTAAACAGGTTCCGGGCCTATTACCGACGAGAGATCACATAACTCACCCATTGCCACGTGAGCACTAAAAGAGTTTCGTGTTCTGGGGGTGGTTGACCAGATCTCTGGCGGCGACTGGCGCGGTCGTTATTTATTGAAACATCGTCTCGGATCCGATACCGGCTCATCTGCTTAGCAATGTACATCAGCCAATCAACGTCCCTTGTCCCGACCGACGCCGGCCGGCACGGGGGGAGGGAGGGAGACATTCAGTGTCACGTGCCACGGCTCTGCAGTGTGCCCTGCCGCCTCTTTGGGCTCTCACCAGGTCCTGAACAGCCCGCGATTTAGCTAAATTATATCCGGCTGGGTGATCGTTTAAGTTAATTTCCCATCCTAACTAGCCTTATCACAATACATGCACATCCGACGGCCGGTCGCCGATTTATGCAGCACTCAAACACGAATAATGAAGTGACAGCATTGCCAAATAGCCGTTCGTTTTGCCGCCATCCTACGCAAGTGAAATTAGTATTGAACGTATCAGCATAAATTTACGATAATAGGCACCGCAAATGAGTTATCGCGACGAAACAGCGCCGACTCCGCCCGTGTAATGGATCGTTCTGCAGCGTCTCCGCAGCCATGGCCGAACTCTGCACTGTAATACGTCCGAGTCGCTTCACTAAGCACTGAACGAATGGGCCATAACAAAGGCAAATAGTTAAAAGCAAGGCCGTTAAAAGTAGGCACTCGGCCCTGAAATGGTGACTTTAGAAAGTCATACACTGCAGAGTACATAGTGCACAACATTTACAATCGAATCAGAGCGTACAGCACATCTAGAGCCAAATTTGCTTAATAAAAGGTTATTTATATATTTAGAAGTTAAACATTTATTAGCACAACTGAACAAGTTCAGATTTCATCAGCAAGTGGAAGCTGAGCGAGAAAAAATGGATAACGATAATGGGATGAAGTCACCACCTTAATGTATGTTTTCTCTGCGGATTGTATCGGCTTACGCATGTTGTTTCAGCTTACTGAAGGCGATCTTATACTTCTGCTCCTTTTTAGTGTCTGATCTCCAGTTATATCTCATTGGTAATAAATGACAGATTATGCTGAATGAGTCGATAGCGCTTCTACCCGCTTCGAGCGAACCATCAAACAAAATTATCTGACAGACTGACGCCTTTTAGCATCGAAATGATGACGTAACGTCATAATGATTCGTATCACTCGGATAACAAGGTAAAATGCTCATCCCGGACGTGTTACTGTTTATAAGATTCATTTAAGGTAGGTGCGAACAGGATACGAGCCTTCCCTCCAGGCCTCATGCGGGAGTTTTGGCATTAAAACACAGAAACAAAGCTAAACACTCCTACACCAACTCCATCAAAAACACTAATCACGCTTAGCACGTTATGTGACAAGGCTTTTAGGTCGGGTTCGGCAGGCTACCGTCAATTATCTGCAATCTACCACCACCGCCACAGCTTTCTCACCAGCACTGACCAACCACTACTCTCTGCGCACGGGTCTGATCACTGCGTCTTGTGTCTTCCAGCCCCGTCAGTTTCCTGAGCGGCGCGGCGCGGGAGGGGGGGGGGGGGTAAAAACGCCGGTCGTCGTGACGCCGCTGGCCACTGCTGTCGATAGCGTCACCTCGTCAGAGTGCGCGCTGACACGCGTCACGCAGCCAGCGATCAGGCGATACGGGGCGCTTGTTTAGCCAGCAGCGTTATCGCCCGCGTCAACACAGACATCATCAATCACCAGTTTCTCAATAAGCGTCGCCGAGTGGTGACAGGGAACGTCGCGACGGCCCCGTCACCTGCCGTCACCTCTACAGGTCGACGTTGGCTAGCTACCCGGCTCGACGCTAGTTAGCTGGACTTTACTTAAATTGTCGCTCTGTCCCAACGTTTGCTAGCTACCTGGTCCGGCGTTGGTTTCCTCGTCCGCTGGACTCCATTTAGCTCGCCGGTTCGACGCCAATCCGACGCCGTCACCCTACCCAGTCTGCCGTCGGTCAGCCGCTGCGATAATAGTGCAATCTTTTATGTATAAGTTTATCTTTTTTGAAGTTATTTGTGACGGTAATGCTCGTAATCACATTCAGCTTCTAAAAGCACAATAATTGTGGCGATAAGTGAAGGTGGCAAATGTTGCATGACTTCATGACGTAAGTCATCTTGCAAGATCATTCGATTCGCCTAAATGCATATCCTCGCCGCCAGGAACAGAACATTTTTGAGCCGCCTGGCACACAAAAGACACCCGCAGCTCATGTTTGATGTTACAACGAGCTGGAGTCCCGTAACCAAACCACTCGCCGCGATTCAAAGGAGCTTTTTACCGCCGAGCATTCCACCGGTCTATTTTGAATGTAACAACAGGCCCACGTGCGACATAGAGAACATCTGATTAAGTAATGCGCCTCAGGTACACCGTCGAGACCTGATTTTACATTTATCAAAATGTTGCCTGGATTTATTATCTTTTTTACTTCTCCTCACACGAACTTTGAGGCCGTGGATTCCGACACCTCTATTTTCAAAACGTGTGCTGCACGGATGGTGCAATTCTGTGCACGTGCACACTTGCGAGCGCCACTCCTGCCGTGCACAGGAAACAATATCTTACCGTCTGTCAGTGGCGATTAACAGAGCTGTCTCCCAACTGGCCCGCTCCCGGACGCTGGCAAAAGATAGACGCATTGACATGCCGTCCATGTTACGAATCGACAGACTCCGGTGGTCTCTGCTGTCAGTTTTGTGTAAAGAGCCGAGTGTCACACTTCTGCGACGCGCACACATCTGAAAAATTATGTCTGATAGTTCGCACCATTCTGTAGACCCTTGCTATTACAACTGATGAACAGGCCAAAGGCAGGCGCGCAAAAGCGTTAAGCGTAGCGGGCGTAGCCAACGAGTAGACAGACAGCATGAGCAAGTAAAAGGTGAACAGGCGCCAGGCGGGAAACTTTGGGTGAGCAAAAGGTGGGCAAACAGAGTAGGAGTCGACATGTGGTCAGCAGATAGAGGTGACCAGTGTAGTTGATCGACCCAATATCACTGTGGCCGGCTGTGGTGCAGAATGCGGACCGTGGGATGCGCGGCAGCGGGGTGCGGGGCAGCGGGGTGCGGGGGCAGCGGGGTGCGGGGGCCCGCTCAGCAGATGATGCTCGGCTGGGTGCGGGGCAGCGGGGTATGGGGGCAGCGGGGTGCGGGAGCCCGCTCAGCAGATGCTCGGCTGAGTGACAGTGTGCGGATGCCAATCACCCGACCCCAAGCAGCGGCGCCGTCAGGTGGCCCCAACACCACCTGCTATCAGGGCGGAGCGCACCGTCACATGCTAATATCACACAGACGGAGAGTATTGGCCGTGTCCACCGACTATATGTGGACGAATGTAATGGCTGTCATACATATGAAAGGACCCGGCTTTACCATGGGTAATCACTAATGGCTTACTCGGTATATGGCATTAGAAGATGCGACATGTGTTCCGGCGTTCGGGCTGATATCAAAGGCTTACCGTGTGACATGAGTCCCATGGAACTCAATTCATGAGACTCATTGCGCACAATGAACGAAAACAGGGAGCGCTACGGAGGTAAAGCAATTCGGAGGAATTGCTAAGTAATCATAGGATAACGCTAACCAGCTGTGCTTATGTAAAGTCTGTCAAAACCGCGCAAAGTAACGGTGGATCCGTCAAGCCTAACCGAGCTATAATTTAAAAGTCACCGAGCCAATTGACCTGGGGAATAAACGAGGATATCAATTGCTTCGGTGACTCAAATTTAGCAGGCCCTTCCTCGGTCAGGCTTGATGGATCCACTGTTACTTGACGCGGAAGACAGACTGTACCTATACCAGATAAAATCAATTTATGAAACATGATACCAAAGCTGATGCTGAAAAATCGCAGTCCTCTGCCGGTCGGTCCAAGGGCTGCCGCTGCGGCAGTGGCGTCCGAGCGCTCTGATTGGCTGAGCGGCCGACCTCAGCTGGGCCGGGCCCCGAGGCGGTTCCAGCGGCCGGGGTCAGGCGCCAGCTGACCCGCCCCGCCCAGTCTGAGCTCAGGCGCGAGTGAAGGGCGGCGGCGCTGCGGTGTTTTAGAGGTTGAGGAAGATTCATTTTAGCTGGTGAGTAGATTTGTATCGATTATATGTCGTTTTTAAACATAGCATGCTTGTTAAACGTAACTAAGTGCAAAATGACAATGTTAGCTTTGTAACCGAAGGTCTGAGCTAGATAATTTCAATACTTTTGGTTAAACATCTATAAAAAGTACTCATTTTTATGGGAATGCGGTAACTTGAGAAGGATAGGTATACGGTTCAGTAATTGTTTTGATCATGTGATTTTTTATGCATTAGGGTGTGTTGAGCATACTAGGGGAAGTTGGGGGAACGCCGAAGACTTTTTTCTGACGCCCGTAGCACGCAAGGTAGACAACATAAGCTATTCTTGTTGGCGTCATTCGAGAGGCCAGTCTTTTGCCTTTCAAACATACCAGGTGCATTTGATGAATTTGCATACCGTTAAGCGCACAAACTAAAAATATCAAAGAAGTGACTTTTTCGGCGTTGCCCCGGACTGCGGGGAAAGCCGAAAATGGGAGAAATGATCTACGGGGAATGCCGACATTGATGTTTTGCCATTTTATCTCAAACTTTATCCAGAATTGATCAAAGCTGACACGCGTTTTAAGAGCTTGAGGACGCGTTGCACACTGGAAGTTATAATTGTGTGATATAATAAGAACATGCCAGGTAAATCATTCCTTATAGGTAACAGGCCGTTGTGTCGGTTGAAAGTGTAATTTGTGTGACTAAAAATACGCGTTGCTATTCTACAGCAGTAAAGTCCACGTAGCGTGCTTTTAACACGTGCGTAATCGCACGTTTTCGGCATTACCCCAGCCTGCCATACTTTCATTTGCAGGCCCATAACTTTTCAACGTGCTGTATAAATTTAAAATAGGCAGCACACTTATGCAAAGACATGCTAAAGATTACTTGACCGAATTGGCCAGACAAACGGTAGCATAATGAGTAAGAAATGCAGCTTGAAAGGCGCATGTAGTACAAGGGAAACGTACCTTGAAAACGCTCTTGGCGCCCTCACAGTCGAAGTATTCCGAATGACGACTCGTAACCAACATGCGATAATTGTAGTCACTTAAGCTTCAGAGCATCACTGACAGGTGGCATCCATGTCTTACGGTTTTCGAAATATCTCGAATTTCGGCTTTGCCCCAACTCCGGCATTGCCCCAACTTCCCCTACTAGTATATCGGTAAAAAAGCACAGATTTTGTTTCATTATATCTGTTTCATTCACATTTGGCTTTAACCCGTGCCGTGCTATAAGTGGCCTGGGTTTTCTATGTGCTGGAGGGGTCACGCCCCCTCCCCCCATCTAACTCGGCTCCTTGACCATGTAGCAACACGCGGTAAGCGGCAATCGAAAGAGCGTCAAAAATAATGACTGGAACACTTGGGTCATTTTTAGGTCAGGTCAAAGGTCAGGTCGCCAGAGGTCATCAAAGGTCAAATTTAGTCCATTTCAATAATTTTGGAAACTGCCAACGGTTAACTCAAGAACCAATAGAGCTACTGCGCCGCGGAAAAGCGCATTAAGCCCTTTTACAGGTCTTCTGAATATTGTTCTCAGATTTGACCTCAGGTCAACGGTTTAGCCTCCAGAGGGCAAAAACACAAAAAAAAATAACAATTTTCTTGAAACGTGTTTTTCGGTAAAAACTATTTATTCAAGAAAGCCACGATATTAATTTTGCCAGCGTCGTGTTCCTCTCGTCGCGACGCGTTAAATGAACAATGCGTTGATTTTGAAAGGTCATTTTGAAAATTTGACTTCAGGTCTAGGTCATAACCTTTATAGCTATAAAATAAATATAAAATAAAATAATAAAATAATAAAAGTTATAGCCAAAAAAAACTGCTGATGACCTTTCATGACCTGAGATGACCTCAGGAGCACACAGCAGGGTCACAGGTGCATTTTTCCAATTCATTGTGTCATTGTGGTTTAGAACGACATTCGTCCAAAAAAGGCGCATTTCAATTTTCACCCACTGATTTATAATGGATAGGTCTCAGAAATTGACGTGACATTAGGTCGCAGATATAAAAAATAATACGAGATATACATTTTAAACATACTGTTACTCTTATCAATCGCTGAATGTTTCAAAGTGATCGTTCGGCCGGTGTAGCTATAACGAGCCTTTGAACTTTTTCTGAGGTAAGGTCACTTGATGAGACCTGGTGACCTGACTTTGAACGACATGGGTCCGAAATTTTCACATTTGCGAAAAAGATTTATGAACAGGTGTACCAAAAGTTTTTGAGACATTTGCGAAAAAACGTGAGGGGGCGTGAAAAGCCCCCCCGCCCCTCCCCTCCCAGCACGGCGCGAGTTAAGAAGGTATCTACAATTTAAATGTATGCGTATATAAAAATATCAACCAGGCACGGAAGAGGGCAGATAACTCCTCTTTTGAATTTTCACTCTGATTATTCATTTAAAAAAAAAAACTTAAAAGACTGACGAGCAGTCCAGCCATATTTTATGCCATGGACACTCATTTGCACATGTACCGAAAATTATAACTCCATGCCAGAAGAGGTGTGACCTGCCTATAAACTACGTAGGTCACACGACGGGTGTCGTCTTTCGATACGTTTGGTAATGTCCCCGACCCGAGTTGCAGCGTTGTTTGAATACCTATTTGCTTTCAACATATTCGTTGATTTTACAGCATGTCCACTGCCCATGACTGCTTTGTGCCCAGTGCCCAGTGTCCAGAACGCCCATGTTCCGTGACGGCGCAAGGGGTCCGTGCGTCTCCGCGTTTGTCCCATAATTAGCCGCTTTTACATAGGGCTAGTTGCCAGATAGTGGAATTCCGATACCGAGACATTTATTCCACTAACGAGACATTTCAGGCACATTCCGCTGGTTCTGACGACCTATCCGGCCAGAAGGCCGCATAAGTCGTCAGAACCAGCGGAATGTGCCTGAAATGTCTCGTTAGTGGAATAAATGTCTCGGTATCGGAATTCCACTATCTGGCAACTAGCCCTATGTAAACGCGGCTATTGAGACAGAGGTGCCCGGATAGGACGACTATTCTTAGTCTAGTCAACTGGTAACATCTTATGTCAGGTCAATGGCAAACAACGTTTGACTTTCGATTTTCGTCTAATTATTTCCGAAAAATATCAGTAGAACAAAAAGAAAATGAAAGCATGCGTTTGTATTATAAAATGTGTCGACAGATGCACTTATTGTTTGAATGAGGAACGGTGAGGGTTGAACTTGAGTGGCCTCTGGTGGTCTTAGATGATCTTGATAATATCTTTTCAAAAGCATATGCTAAGAGGCAAGAAACCTCCCCTAGACAGTGGCGTATCCAGGGGGGAGGCCAAGAGGCCATGGCCTCCCCCTTTGGCAATAAACATGCAAGTGGGCCCTTTGGGTTACTTGAGTGCGGTGACGTACCCAAGGGGGGCAATGGGGGCCCTGAGGGGCGCCCTGCTTACCTGAGGGTCCCCCTAGTCGTCTGAGGGTCCCTGGTTATCTGAGGGGCCCCTGGTTATCTGAGGGCCCCTGGTTATCTGAGGGCCCCTGGTTATCTGAGGGTCCCTGGTTATCTGAGGGGCCCATGGTTATCTGAGGGGCCCCTGGCTACGGGGGCCCTGGTTATCTGAGGGGCCATGGTTACCTGAGGGGCCCCTGGTTTCCTGAGGGCCCTGCTTACCTGAGGGGCCCCTGCTTTCCTAAGGGGCCCGTGATTGTCTGAGAGCCCCTGATTATCTGGGAGGCCCCTGGTTACCAGTGGGGCCTCTTGGTATATGAGGGCCCCTGGTTACCTGAGGGGCCCTAGTTATCTAAGGGGCCCCTAGCTACCTGAAGGGCCCCTGATCCCCTGGCCAGTGATCTGAAGAAACCCTGGTCACCTGAAGGGCCCATGTTTACCCGGGAGTAGGTACCTGGTTATATGAAGGGCCCTTGCAGTCACATAAAGGCCCTTAGTTACCCGTGGAGCCCCTGGTATAACCGTCCCCTGGTTATCAGAGGGTCCCCTGGTCACCTGGAAGGCCCTGGTCAATTGAAAGACCCCTGGTCAATTGAAAGGCCCTGGTCAATTGTAAGGCCCCTGGTCACCTGAGAGGCGCCTGATTACCTGAACGGCCCGTGATCACTCGGATTCAATGGTATGGCCAGGGGCGAGGGGGCACGTCTCCGTTATAGGGTTCAGGGTCCCCTCGGGCCCGAAAGGCCCTGCGGTGCCAATTGGCGGCAGAGGGCCCGCGCTGGCAACGCTTCAACTGGAAAGGAGACCACAGGGCTTGTGAGAACACCCCATGGGCTCTTGTGTAGCCACACTTATCTCCAGAAGGGCCTCACGCCAGGTTCTGAGGGACCTTGCCGGCCCTGAGGGCTCTTGCCGGCCAATAAGGGATCAGCTGTAAGGGCCCCATACCCGTTTGATAAATGCTATGGCCCCACGGCCCACACCGGTGTTTCTGAGGGCCCTCACAACGGCGCCTGCGAGGGCCTCCACTGCCACCTCTAAGGGCCCCACACCAGTGCCTCTTAGCACCAGTGCCTACTTCGGCGGCTCTAAGAGCCCCACACCGGCGCATCTGAGGGCCCTATGCAGCGCCCTATGCATCTGATGGTCACTTACCAGCGACTCTGGGGGCCTCTTACCGACCTCTTAGGGTCCCTTGCCGGCCTATGAAGGACCACCAGTAACTTTCAGGGCCCCACACACGCCTAAGTGATGGCCCCCACCAGTGTCTCTAAGCACATAAGGCCCTCACAACGGCGCCTGTGATGACCCCACACCAGCGCATCCGACGGCCTTTCACCGACACTTCTGAGGGACTTATGTATACATGTGACTCTGAGGCGCTCGCTCGCTTCACTTCCTCATAAAATACCGTGCATTTTATGCACACTTCTCAAGCAAAAAAAAAATGATATTTTTACCTGCCAATTTTGCACATTTTCTCGGGGCTTAGACAGACAGACAGACAGACAGACAGACAGGCAGACAGACAGACAGACAGAGGGGCCCGTCTGCAAGGGGAACCGGACGCACCATGTGC